CCTGGGGTACTCGGCCTGGAGGGGAAACTGGGGGTGGGGGGCAGGAACTGATGCTGAAAGGGGGGGCTAAGGCGGCGCTGGGGCCTCCGGACTGGAGCAGGGATGGTCCCTGGAAGGGAAACTGCCCCGGGAAGGGCTTTGGAGGGGAAGGGGCCCGTCTCGGAGGGGGGAGCCCTCCCTGCTGCAGGAGGTGGCGCTGGGGGCATTTGAGGTTGAGGGCCGGGGGCGTCCGCCCTGGGGAGGAAAGGTTAGAGCGGAGAGCTGATGCTGGTGGGGGCGGGGATGGACCCTAGAAGGCTAGGAATGAACGCTGGTTTTCATCTACCGTGGGTGAGGTAACTCTTCCAGTGCGACAACCTCTCTGCCCCCTCCGCTTGAAGGGATACGTGCTATCCAGCCATGGGGGTATGCCCACAAGAATATCCTCTGCCGGTCTGTCCAAGGATACTGGAAGGGAAATCGGTCCTTTGTTCTCCCCCCTCCCCCAAGGCTAGCTTTGGAAAGGGAAAAAAAACACCCCGGCTTTGTATGTGTGGCAAAGCCAAAGGTTAGGCAGACTTGCAACGATCATCCTTAATATTTAGAGATCTCTTGAAACTGAGGTAGTGTATGAAGAGGGAAGTGCTATTTCAGTAGAAATCCTGTCTTTGCTCTAGCAAATACATGCCTCATTTTAATGCCTCAATCTTGGGTATTTTTTTTAAAATGGCAGCGCACTCAAGCCCAGATGTTCAGAGGTGAAGTTGTCGCACATCTGAGTGAGAGGGCCCTGCCTACATTTGGACTATGGTGCATTTTTAATTGTGGCAATACTGCGTTAAACAATTGAATTATCCATAAGTAGTGGTCGCCAACCCCTGTCTTTTAAGCAACTGGTTGTCTTCCTGTTGCTTGTGGACACAGGAAGTTATAAAGTTAAAAGTGAGGCTCGCAGGAGAGTAAATGACAGTTTTTGGTCTGTAGCCTGTTAATTGCTTCGAGTACTTGATCACATGCCATGAAGTCTGTACAAAAAAGAAACCTCTCTCTTTCTCTCAATTTGTCATGTGACGTGATAGAAATGAGTTGTTTTTTTTTAAAGCAAACATGGGATGGAAAGTGTCACATGTCTAATTGAGATTTATTGACAACATTGGATTTAAATTAGTAACAATGTCTATTTCTCTCTGAACCTCCCAAGTATTCTTTAACTCAAGCTAAATTATAAATCTGAGTGTAGGAAGTGACATGACTCTTATTGGGCATTTAAATTACATTTTGTGCTTCTACTACCACTTTTTTTTTTTTTTTGACAGGCTGACTTATTTATTGCTCCTCTTGAAATATGGATAGAGCTTTGCTGTACATTATTAATCTTTGATTTAAATATACTTTGTTCCTGGGATAGCTAAGAGTGTTAAATCACTGAGTACCTGTGGTGGAATATGGGTTAGACCTGTTTTGTGTTACACAGATTTAATTCAGTTCAACTGAATCCAAGCTTTTGCTTGTCCACTTTAAGATTCAATTTCTGCAGGCCACCTTTAGCTTAATTATGTGTTGAAGACTTGTAGATTGAACCCTTGAGTTCCTATGTCACCTTTTTAGGTGCTTGAAGTCCCTTTGACTCATTTCTTTTTATGCATGTTATTAGCCTCTCCTTTTAGGTAAACACTTGTGTTGGAAAACAAACTAATAGAAATCAGGAAGTTCACAGTTAAAGCTGTGTCCTTACTCTCACCCTGTTTTGACTGTGGTTAATGGTTGAGGAACAGTATGTGAGCTGCACCATATATGCAGCAACAGTTAGGTACAGCATGGCAAATGAAGGTTGGGATTTCAGTGGTCACTTTCAACTGACCATCTCTTGGATTTTAGATTCAAACCCTAATGTTGTTTTGAATTTTAACAGGGTCATGGGCATCTTCCTCACACACTTTTAGCATAGTGTGGACTGAGAGTGCAATAATGTAGAGAGAGTCTGCATGTCTTCATGAGTCTCTAGCACCTTTGTACAAATGGCATTATAATATAAGCTGAAGGGTTGTCAGGCCTAAGTATATGTTTTAATTTATTGGAAAAGTGTATCCTTGAAACCTTCTGCCCAGTGTCAGGTTCTACCAAAGGGAATATTCTTGTGGCTGGGGGGGGGGCCTGAAGTGGAAGAGTTAACTTAATGTGGGGGGAGGTGAAAATTGACATTCTTTTTCCTAGCCTGCCTGGGTTGCAGATCTCTCCAGCACTGTACTTGGGATTTTACAGGGTATTTTAAAGTCATCTGGAGCAGGTGTTGGGAAGTGAGATTTTTTAGAAGCTGTGTATGCAGCTTCTACATCAGATGAGCTAAAAAAGAAAACATAATGGAGAAATATGTAGCCTGAAGTTGGAGCAAGTTCAGCTCTGGATGTCTGCTGTGGGATGTACATTTCCTTTGATTTGGCCTATTTTTAACTTTTTTTTTCTAGGCAGTGTCATTTGACTCTTGTTTTGAACGTTTCTTTTGCCCCCCAAGTTAAAGAGGCGGTGTCCAGTTAACCAAAAATTTGACAGAAATTTGCTTTTAAGATCATATCAAACATTTCTTTAGCTGAAAGAGGGGTGGGTGGAAGGATGCAGATTAGTTTCTATGATAGCTTTGCGTCCAGTCACTTTCATTTTTCCTCTGTATAGCTTGTGGCCCGTTCAACTCAAACTGGCTTCAGTAGAAAATAAATCGGATCTTCCACATGAAACTTGCATGCAGCAGTGGAGGGAGACAGGTGCATGCACAAATAGGAAAACTGAATTGTAAACCACAGCTTGGAGTGGTGTAGGGCACGTTACCTGAAGGTACATCTGACTTTCTTTTGTTGAAGATGGTTAGATTTCAAACTGATAGGTTTCCTTCACTGCCAATTGTTGGCTGCCTTTTATAGAAGGATAAGTGATTCCGGCTTATAGAATGGAATATGTTAAGACTGTTTCAGTGGAATCTTGTAGACTGTAGCGATTCTTCTGGGTCTCTATTAACGTAGGTATTCATTAAAAGATTCTGCTTCAAAAGTTGTCCTAGTGCTTGGCAGAGTGAAGAATCTAAGTTCTTGATTTTGGTCAATATGAAATGTGGTATCTGTTTCTGAGCATGTTTATTGGGTGATATTAGGCGATGGCCTGGTCTATCTAGCAATGAGTGAGAAGCTGGAGATCTTTCTACTATAGTTTCAAGCTAAGGTCAAGCTTTGACAGGTCTGCCACTGCTGTCAGCTTGGCCTAGTCCACATATCTGGAATGGAAATCCTGAAACACAGTTGAGCACAATAAAGTGGCAGTGGCTCTTCTAGGCAAGCCAACTAGAGGCACTTTTTGTTTTCCTTCTGTAAGAGTATATAGGTACCGTCTGTGTACAGTGGACAGGTATTTAGTTAGTGCACGTATGGTTATAGTGTTCTCTGTTCACTCCCCAGTGATGGGTGCTGCTCTTTGTTTTTAGCATTTAAAAAAAAAATAGGTAAGTATTTTTTGCAACGGATGGGAAAGACGCTAAAAATTTTTCCAGGAATGACTGTATTTGGTCTCTTTCCACTAGCTAAAAAATGAGTAGATAAGATCTGAGAAGAAATGAATACAGCATTAAGAGATGAATCCTGTGCATGTGGCAAAATGCAAACAAACCGCTGTTGGGCTTGGGTTGTAAAAATAGTTCAGCAACTAACATAAATATCTCTTTTGCCCATAAACTGGTTACCACTCAGCAAATTGTTGTAAAGTGTTCCAGGACAAAAAAAATCTGCAATGCCAGAGAGAAGGCGTTCCATTCATAAAGTTGTCTGGGTAATAAGGATCTTTAGCTTTGGATATCTCTTGAACATGGCGTGTTTATGACTTATGGCCCTGCATATTAAAATCCTAAATTCAGTGTAGAGCGTATGTTGGACTGAAAGGTTATAAGCAATTATAATTCAGAGGCAGAGAGGGGCCAACGCTTAATTTTTTTCCTCTGGGTTTTATCCAGAGAAGTCAGGTGGGGAAACTGGTGGAAGTGAAAATGCATGTTTTCTCTCTCCAGCCTTTTATGGATGCCTGGTAGGAAGAACTTACCTTTCAGTTACATGTCAGAATAATGTGCATCCATTTAAATGTTCAGCGAAGAAATATGGACCTTTCATTTTCAGTTTAAATCAAACATCTTGTGATTTTTAAATTGTCTGGAAGTAGAATGTTTGCATTTCGGAAGAGATCATTTGAAACCATGTGATTAGGAAACAAATGAAAGGAGCCATGTCAGAACTTCTTACTTGCAACTCAAAGGGGGAAAAGTTGGCTTGCCAAATCAAGATCCACCTATTGTGAAATTTTGCTAACGAAGTGTCTACGCTTGTTGCTAGCAAAAGTTAGAAATATCAAAAACAACAAGTTTGAAGTTCCTAACTCTGCTTGGCTTACAGATGAGCTGTTTCGGTACCAAGGTGTGGAGAAAACACAATGGAAATGAGCCATCTTTGTTAAGGCACAAGATAAATCAGATTGAAGGCTTCAGATGCGCACATCAGGCCTTTGTCACACCAATAATGTTTCTCCCTTCCAGCTTTTGGTCCCACGGTAATAGGCTTCATTGAAAGCTTTACAGAACTGCAAAGCCGGCTTTATGTTAGGGTCATGTGTACATGCATTGGGCCTCGCCTCAATATTAAGCCCAGACTAATTTGAAATGTAAATGTCTTTCAAATGTTCCGGGGCATCTTATTTATAGGGGAACCCAATGCCAGTTCATTTTTCCTGCCTTTTCCCTAATACCTGAGAAAATGAGAGAGAAGAAATAGGTAAATTTTAATGCCAAGCTAAATTACATCTTGAAATTTGATACTTTGTCAATCATCCAGATATAAGAGAAACCTTATGTTTTAGCATATGGGTTGTGAGAGAGTTTTAGCACCTTTTTTTCTAATGCCCACCCGTGGCATCTTTGGTGAGTCCAAATCACTGTTTTCTGAAGAAATAATGGTGACTGATTTGTGCATGAGTGCTGTGGATATTGTTCCTGTTGGTACTAACAGGACATGATAACACGGCACCAGCTCATAGTTGGTCCTGGTCCAAAACTAGGCAGAAGTAAAGTAAAGGCTGCTATCTTCTAGTCCGATTGCCATATTCAGTGCATTTGTCTGCCATGTTCCAATGTTGTCAGCCCAATATTCATCTCCTTGCTCGGAGATGCGTCACGCTAAAGGGTCCATTTCAAGCTATCTTTTATTCTGTACTTTAACTTTTTAAGGGCAGAACTTTTGGGGAACCATTTCTTCTACAAACACCCGAGACAGCTGTAATTGAAAGTTCAGGGAATTATTTTACACCACCTCCTCAGTGTGTTCATTTCATCTGTAATTTCCTGTAAAATGCACAGCTGGCTTTTTTTTGTTCAGTGGGTCTCGTAATGCATCGTGACAGGAGAGAGAAGTGTTTTTAATGCTTCTTTTAAACCACAAGTTGGCAAAGCAGTCAGGCACGTGTCGGGTCTGAAACTACATCTGACTCTTAATTGGCTGCATTTCAAATTTTATGCTCAAATGGGGCAATCTTCCTCTTGTGGTATTATGCGAGCTCTGTCTGATAGTTTTCTATGTTAAAAAGTCTTCAACATCAAGTGCACTTTTACTTCATATTTGTCCCACAGCCAGGAGGGTGATGGCTTCTGGGTGGAGCTGGTGCATACTGCTAGTCTTGAGTTTCCTATCAGTATGCTTGTTTAAATATCATTAGCATTATTGGAGCAGTTATAATCGCATAGCTCTTAAAATCTAAGCTGCTACAGTGCTTGCAAAATCATGTTTTGCAGCTTTTTGGAGGGTTTGTACTGCAATTAGCTGGCAAAATGCCAATGCTTTGTTGCTGGAGGCATCTTCCCTGTCCCAGTGGCTTCCATTTTTTTTGATGTCTCGAGTAACCAGCAACTTGCTTTGAAGTCACTTTTGGGCTGCGGTTTTGTAGTGAGTGGTTATTAAAACTATGCATTGACGTTGTTAATTGCAGGACATTTTTAGTCCTCTGCAGTTGGCAACGATTGAATAACTAATCACTCGTTCCTTGTTTTTTCAGGTCCACGCACAACGAAATGGAAAAGAACAGGTGAGTTGGTGCAAATACCTAATGAACTTCACAAATGTTTGTTCCCTTCTCCTCCAGTTTACACGAAGACTGTCTGGGTCTTCCTTGCAGTGAAGCTGTGATTGCACTTCAGTTCATCGAAACAGGGTTAAGTTAGCATCTGGATTCTACAAACGCCTGTAGGCAGAAGATAGAGAGCCATTGCTGGTAACTTACGTGCTCAAATGTGGCACATTGTGGCAACTACAGATGAACAGCATTGTCTAGGATGATGTTCATTTTGATCAGCTTTTCTAGGCTTCACACACAGGGGAGACTCTCCTTCTTCAGGGCATAAGCTATCTTTTAACTGCCAGGCATGTTTGCTTCATGCCCTAGTAAGCCTTTTCCATAGCTGACTACTGTGCAGTTTGAGTCTTCTGCTGAAGTCTCTGATACAGGTCACCCTTTGCCAAGCTGCTGGTTTCCTGAGCCAGTAAGATGCTATGCATGTATAGTAGTATGTAGAATCTTAACCTCTTATTGCCCAAGTTGGCAAGGTCCTGAAGTCCTCTCCCATAGCCTGTGCCTTAATGAACATGCTTCAAAGTCATGATACAGGAACATGTTCTCCAAGAAAGTAAGACTTGTAAAACTGGAGTATCTCGGAGTACAGTTTACTCCATTTTCCATAGTCTATGTCCTTCTGAGTAGGAAGGGACTAGGAAGGAAGGAAAGGTACACTTATACTTCCAGTAGCAAAGAGCTATTCTCAAGTATACATAGCAAGCTCTATTGTTAACCTCCCAGTTCTGGAAGATAAAGTGACAAACTAATAATCACTTAGAGGGAAATTCCAGTCTACACCGCTGATAGCTTTCCATGTTTGACTACAAAGATGGTGCATTGCAAACATCTAATCAGTGATCTCTGTCAGAGTTCAGCAGCATCTTATGTATTGCTATCCAACATCATACATTTACTAGATGGACAGCTGTGTTTTACAGGCTCATTTTAAATAGACTTATTAAATTGTAGCATAATGAAAGGTGGCTTTGCATCATTGATAAGTTCCTCAGTTTCTTCTGTAAAACTTTGAGATCCTATTCAAATATTGCTATATAGCTTTGGCCATTGTCAGCTGACCTGGTTTATTTGAGCTCAAAATGGGCATAAAAAAGGCACGCTGTAGATTTTAATCTACTTCATAAAATCAGCAGTGAAGAAAGACCCCTTAAAATCGCAACCAAATAATGCTTTGCATCTCTCCTCCTAAGTCTTCTGTGGGTGTTGTACCAGAATTGTATTGAAATCCTGTTTATATTGTTGCAGAAGTAAGAAAGTAAATGTCAGGCATTTTAAGCCCTTATCAAAAGGGTGGTTTGGGAAACATCAGCCAGCTTATTTCTATACAGAAACAAATCATTGCACCTCTTATATGGCTCCTGAAGTTAACCCTTTGGTTGCCTTGTACAACAGTATAATCCAGTTCAGATGTCCATGGGTAACATGGGCAGGCATTTAAATTGGGCAAATGACACGCATCATTTGTCAGGTAGTACTAGACTCTACATTTAAACAACCTGTACAGTATATCATAATTTAAGCATGCAAGCTGCTCTGTTAGAACTGCATGGTTCAACTGTTGGCACTTCACTGGGGCTTGTTACTTCCTTTCCCTAATGAGATGCACTCGGTGTATGCCTACCTCTTCCCACTTCATTGAGACTTGTTTACTTCAGAGCCTCAGTAAATATAATGATCCGTTGTTTCACCCTTGTGTCTGTGTTGTGCAGCAGAGTCTGTGTGATGCCTGTAGTAGCAGATGGGGCTGAGGAGAAAAAAACATTTGGTAGGAGGGTTTGGAAGGTTAGCTGAGCCCCGTACATGTCACGTGATTTCCTGCAGCTTAGGCTGTTTTCTAAAGTAACTTTAGCTATGTATTTGCAAATAGTTTAAGAATTAGTTTTAAGTAGTTATCTGGGGTCAAATACTGCACATATCATATCTCAGCCTGAGAATTAGCCTCTTCAAGAATTACTACAAATGTCATGACCAGGGATCCTGGTTTTCTCTGTTTAAAAATCACAAATTCTCTGATAAAATCCTGCAAATTCTCTAATTAATGCCCTTGCACCCAAGGCACCTCCCCAGCTTAACTGCTGCTCTTCAGGCTGCCTGGCAGTTGTGTATTAGGGCTGTGCAAAGCTTCAGTCACTGATTTGATTCTGTGGCTGAATCTCTGAATCCAAACTGAATCAAGAGACCCATTAATCTCTCTGAATCGAATCGGAACCCTCCGAATCAGTTTGGAGAGATTTGATGATTTGGATGTAGACAGCTTTAAATGTTTTTTCTACATATCTCAAGGTACCAAATGGCTTGTGAATGCTGAGATTGTGGGGCGCATGGAGCATCCGACAGGAGCTTGGGGGGGTCCCCAGCATGCTCGGCAGCAGACCAGGAAGTGGACCAGAAGCACTTCTGGTTCACTTCCGGGTCTGCCGGGCAGCGTGCTGAGGGCGCCCCCTGGCTCAGTGACTGGTGCCTCCTGGGTCTGAGTGGGCACCCAGGGTCCCCCCTGTGGCTGATTGCCAAGCTGGGGGGGGAGGGGGTTCATGCTCAGCAGCAGGCCCAGAAATGGTCCGAAAGTACTTCTGGGCCACTTCTGGGTTTGCCACCAAGCACACGGGGGGGCCATGCTCCTGGGGGACTCTCCATCTGCCCTGCCCTACCATCAGTGTTCACAAGCTGCGTTTGGTACCACGAGGTATGTAGAAAAAACATTTTAAAGCCGTGTGTGTGGCTGAATCGCTAATTCTCCGAATCGGCATTGAATCTTCAGATTCAGCCAAATCGAATAGGGACAGCGATCCGAATCCCTGATTCAGATATGGCCCGTTTCGCATGCCCATAGTGTGTGTGTGTGTGTGTGTGTGTGTGTGCGCGCGCGCGCGCGCAGATGCACACAGCATCCCCTCCCACTCCCCCCAGCCTGTTTCCAATGTTTTTCTCCTTAAAATGAGAAAATCTGGGGTTTTCTCCTTTATGAGAACCCGGATTCCTGGTCACGACTTGAAAGATCATTTTTTGTCTCTCTGAATAGACCTTTCTTCACAAAGGAGTTGTGATTTTTGACAATGAGATAATTTTGTCTAATCTAAATATTGTGGTTGCCGCTTCATTTAGCTAAAAATGATGCTGATGTTGAGTGTGTTTCAGCCGGTTTATGCGGCCAACCTTCTTTTAAAGCAAAAGTTGAAGTTTTGAAATCATTAAGAGGTGGTGCAGTGAACACTTGATTTAGGGTTTTTAATTGTCTTTCGGTTTTAAATTGCAAGGCATTAATCAAGTCTTATTGGCTAAATCCAAAACTTCCTGACGGCATTCATGGTGTTGTGGTGTTTTCTCTGTTTGATATCAAAGAACAACTTTTTTTCTTCCTACCGCATAGCGTGAAAGCAAACTTTATACCCCATGATGTTAATTTCCATCTCATGCTCTGGTGTCGCAGACTGTGGTTGTACTACCTGCTTACATACTGCTGACAACGTGTTTGTCCCCATTAAGGCATGGTTGAACAAGTCTGCGCAGATGGAGATTACAAATAGTGTTCAGCAAAGATTAATCATTGGCCTCACCACTTTTTGGATTTACCCATGGAGTAAAGATTATCTGCTTCTGCTTGCATCACAGTGTCAGAGGCCTTATGGAGGCAGATGATTGTTTACTGCAGCACGCTGAGGATATAGTATGGGAGAGCAAGATTGGCAAGTTGTTGCAACATCCCAGTTAGCAGCCACCTTTGTCAATTAGACACTTGAAGTGTAGGTGCTGCAACCAATGCTAAATAGTGTGACCTAAATGTCACCTAGTGTGTGGAACAGTTGGGAAGATAGGAAAACACAGTGCTCTTCATAGCATTGTGCAAAAATAGCTGTGTAACAGAGTAGACTTTTTTTTTTTTATAGTCAAAGCCTCTGTTCCCCCTACATTAAAACTCCCCTTGGGTTAATTTTTATTTTATGCAACCTGTACCATGTTTACTGACATACAAATATTGGGGTTAATGTAGCCTTTTGTAACGTGATGCCAAGAGGGAATGTTAGTGACTTACCACAGACTGGTAACTAGTGGTGGTTGCAGCTAGAAGGTGCTTATTGAAGAGTTCAGTGATCTGAAAATTAATTTATATTAAGGTGAAGTAATTTATAGTAGGTCACTGTGCAGTTGGGAAGCAAGGTCTTCCAAGCAGACCTGGGGAAAATGTTAATGCAAATGCACTGAGCTTTACTTGATGGCAACTTGTTGCTGTTTATTTCCTTTCTAATCATCACCTTAATGGCTGCTGGACCTCTTGTATTTTGATGTGCACAGAGTTGGTAAGAAGCAATTTTGAAACATTCTCCAGCTTATTCATAGATTTTTAAGGCTGGAAGGGACCTCGGAAGATCATTGGGTCTTCTACCAAGCAGGAAGGGTAACTGGGAGTCAGGTGACACCAGGAAGGTGACTGTCTAGTCTCCTCTTGAAGAGGAGACTAGGGTTACGTACTTGCCTCTCAAATTGTCTACTCTGTGAAGGAACATAATGGCTTGGGAGAAAATTCCTCCTTTTCTGGATGGCCAACACTTCACATAATCATTGATATACCTAATGTGGGGGGGGAGGCATCTGGTATTACACCAAGATGCATTAAGTCACCTAGCAAAAGAAAATACAGAGCAGTAGATGCTTTTATATTTCTAATCCAAACTACTCTCTTGTCACGTAATGGTGACAGAACTTGTCTAAATACTTTGATTTATATTTGCTGTACTTGCTTGCAGATGTTAAGTGATGTTGTGAGATGCCTTATCTTACCTAGTTGCTACTCGCACACAAAGAATATTTGGTATGACGTGCACTCTTTGTTCTTTATAGGCGTGCTCATCTACGGCTGTGTCTGGAGAAGCTGAAGGGGCTGGTACCACTTGGGCCTGAATCCAATAGACATACCACACTGAGTTTACTTACAAAAGCTAAATTGCACATAAAGGTAAGATCAAGAACATTAATAAGCATATAAAATAACTGAATAGAAAGCAGTGGAAACCCTCGTGTATGACAAGTTTTGTGAGGACAATTGTGAGTGCTGCTTTGGGGTCAGTACTTGGACTTGACTCTCTTGCAAACCAAATGAATTGATTGTCATAGATAACACAAAAATGGGGTGGGGGATGAATGAGACATTGACTCTTTTAAGCAGCTACTTCTTTCTGACACAAATAAAAACAAGAGCAGATATCAGTCTTGCCTAAAAGCTTCACCGGTTAGTTTCTTTAATCTTTGTGCGGTTTTACTCCCACATCACCATTCGCTCAGGACTAATTTTTTATGTTTGTACTCAGCTGTATTGCGATAGTGTCCAGAGGACCTCTTTTCAACTTTGGCAGCTGCTCAGTGTTGAGCATATGCAAATATAAATGTTATGCCTTAAAAGAATTTGCAGTCTAAATGTTCTTGCTGTTCATAGCCTTGCTCTAAGGAAGTGACATAGTTAACTCTCAGTTGACGTAGTTAGAAGCCTTTCCTGAGGATACCAAGTCTTTTATCTTCCAGTTAATACCAGGGACTTGAAAAAGGGGTGGGGTTGGGGGACTTTTTTGGCGTCAGGCTGGCTACAAATAGCTAGATATCAAAGCCTTGGAATAGATATTAATAGGATTGGGCTGCTGCCAGATGAGTTGCGCACAAACAGTTTTTTGAGAGGGAAGCATCATTTATATGCATTCCCGTGTAGCTTCAGGGTGATTCTCATCTAGGAGTAGGTCTGGTGGACCCTACAGACAAGGCACTGCTGTGCCCATCTGCACAAGAGCACCTGGTTTGAGTTTGTTTCACAGTCCAAGTAAATGGGAAGAAGGGACCAGCAGGTGTAACTAAAAATTGTTTCCAGTGTCCCAGAAGGTGTGTACAGAAGCAAAGAAATCCTGCCTGTTCTGTGTGAGCAAGTATTTGTCCACTGTGTGAGGCATGTGGAATAACTTCAGGTCTGCTGCTGGAATCAACTTCTGAAATGAGCTTTAAGTCGTGGTGACCAAGGGCTTTTTTAGGTGATTTGATCTGTTGCCAATGCCAGTGAGAACAAGGGTTGGAGTTGGTGACCCAGAAAGTGGTGGCACTTGTGTAGATCCTGGGACAAAACTTGGGTTTTTAGGCTGCAGGTTTTGGCTACTAATGTGGGTGTAGCAAACTCCATTTGAAAAGCTGTCTGCTCAGATGTGTGTTTCAGTTGTGTTAAAAATACCTCCATTATTTTCTTTAATTTACTTCTGGTTTAAAGCTGCCTCTAATGCATATGCCTAAAAGGTGCTGAATCTAGGCCAGTGCTTTGAAACCTGGGTAAACATGATTAGTCAACTAAAGCCATGTTTTGGCATCTAGAAATAACCTGGCTTTCAAAGGTGCTGAGCACCCACCTCTGGGAAGTAGGTGAGACCTTTAAGTACCTGAGTTACTAACATTTAGCCTTTGACCCACAGTGTCCAAAAGAACTAAACGTGCCTCCTTTTCGTTATCCACAGAAGCTTGAAGACTATGACAGAAAAGCAGTACACCAAATAGACCAGTTGCAGCGAGAGCAGCGGCATCTGAAAAGGCAGCTGGAAAAACTGGGCATAGAAAGAATAAGAATGGACAGTATAGGATCCACGATGTCATCAGAACGGTCAGACTCTGATAGAGGTGAGGTGCTTTGGTTGATGAGGGCTCCATGGGCCATATCCTTTTCCACCTCTTGGGAGTTTTAAGTGCAGTGCTGTTCCACCCTGGTCATGTCCCTGAATAAACATTGATGACTTAGACAGGTTAAGCCATTCCAGGATTTGAGCAGGGCGGACTGCTTAGGTGGCAAAATAAAATTTAAATAACTAATAGGTGGAATGAATCCCGTCCCCCACTTTGTATCGGAGACCTCAAATGTTGCCTTGGAACAGTTGTTTATTACGGATCTTTTTGCTTACAGAAGAAATCGATGTGGAAAGCACAGACTACCTAATGGGAGATCTAGACTGGAGCAGCAGCAGTCCGAGTGACTCGGATGAAAGGGGAAGCATGCAGAGCATCTGTAGCGATGAAGGATACTCCAGCTCTGGCATTAAAAGATTAAAGTTGCAGAACAATCACAAGCCTTGTCTCAGCCTATAAGAAGCAACTCCAGTAGCTGTTCCATCCATTGCTGTTTCCCTGTTGGATCTTCTTAGGTAGTATGTTGGACCGTCCCACAATTCTCTTGCACGTAAATTTAATGTACCAACAACATTACCAAAATCAGCTTTGCCTAAGTCCCAAAACAGTGCTTAGGGTTGTGGGTTACAAGCTACTCTCTGGAGCACACATCTGATTGCATCCACTAGCTTCTCTTTCCGTCAGTAAACTCATCTCTGTGAGACTGTACATTCCAACAAAATTTTGAAGCATCCAAGAATCTTTTTGCAGTAATAGCAACTTACAAAAACCTCTACTTTTTCCCTCTTCATTGTTTTGCCTTGCTGTAATTGCCTAGTACTCTAAATCTACCTTGTCTTTGCCTAGTGACAAACGTATCTCAAGTGTCTGAGCATAATTGTTTGGACTATAATATGAAGGGTGAACCTCAACTGTGTTCTAGCTTAGATCTGGAAATGGGTGGAGTGAACTTTCAAAGTGATATGCGGAGCGTATTGGCTTTGTCAGCCCTCTGGTACTCCTGAGAAGTATGCAGCAATATCCCAGGCATCACTTTGAACAGTTGGTTCTTAAATGTTCAGAGTGCTGTGTTTGTATTTGTGTAGCCATGTAACTGTATTTCTGGCCCAGTCCTGTTGTCTTAATTGGAACTTGCACTGACTTTCAGTTTCAGATCCTGCAGTAGAGCAGTCCTATCTAGCAAGAATAGTCCTATCAGAATTGATCTCAAACTGGCAACTCATACACGCCAGTGGGGATTTTAACTGCTACAGGACTGTGGGACCGAACTTGTGAGGTTCTTGGCACATTCTGTAAATTGCAAGCAGTCTTCTGAGCTGTAGGACCTTGGCAAGGCAAGTACTGCTCTGTCTCTTGAAAGTACATCTGTTTTCCACATTTCCAAGTTTCTTTAATACCTAAAACCAAATGGTACTATTTCTCCAGTGCAATTCATGACCTCATTGCATTACAGCTGCATATTACTGTTCTAGGCAAGTTTTCCTAGAAGTTTGTTCATGCTTCTTGTCTCTGGGACAATTTTTTTCTACCTCAGAGAGATGAACAAAGATTATCTCAATCCCTTTAGCACAAAAATAATTATGCCTCATTTGTTTTTAGATAAGTGATGCTCAGTCCTGTTGAAATCCATTTTCCTATAAAATTTAGCAATAACTGAATGAGGAAGGTAGCTGTGCTATCTTCAGTTGTCAGTGATTGAAAAGGGCACATTTTACAGGATGTTGCTAATAGTACGTTACTACGATTATTCAGTGAAGTGCTATTGGCATTAAAGCACTTCCTCACCTCGTTGAAGTATTTTTAGGCGCTCTAAATCTGGTTCATTAAGGATTTTGCTTGCCAACTAAAAACTAATATTTTTTTTTCCCAGGCTGTGGTTTCAAACCTTGCAACATTTTCATTTAAGCTAAATAGAGCACATGTAAATGTACATAAAACATGATCTATAAATAGTATTTATTCATTTTATATGAAACTAATGTAATGGAGATACATTCTTATGACTTTGTGCTTTTATAGTTGTTCTGGAAACTTTGTATGTAGAGGTCTGCTAACTGAGATATCCCCCCCCCCCCCCCCCCAGTCCTTTTTTGCTTGAAAAATTTTAGGATCTTTCTATTCAGCCCACTTAGCAAACTTTGCAGTGACTATTCAACATTTGATTCTGGTAATAAACCAACTTGCACAAAATAACCAGAGAAACCCAACCAAGCAACTGAACTTCACTCTCTAAAAGGGCTATGTAGCTTATTTAGTGATATGAAAGCCCATTTTTGTCGCCTACTTGCCTGCAGTCTTTTAAAATAAAAAAAATGTAGTTTTCAAGACTTGACGAGTCAAGCTGCCAAAAGCCACTAAGACAGTCTATAAATTGCAAATGAATGAACTCTCTAAAAGGAGACTTGTTTTTCTTAAAATATCCTTACACTATTTTTGGATCATTTGAACTCTCTGAAATGAGAGAAAATGGGAAACGGGGCTAGTGGATTGCTCATATGTCCAAAGTCTATTCTCCTTTTTGGGTGTGCTATGTTTTGAAAACGAAGGATTATTTTTAAACAGCTGGAATTTTCAGATGTCCAGCAGACTTGCACTGAACTTACAACTTGTATGCCTTTTGCATTTTTAAGTCTGCTTCCTTTGTCCAAGCAGAAAATCTTCAGAGAGCTAGCTCAAAACCTGTAAACTTTTAAATAATAAAAAAAAAATTTGAATATCTGCACTTTGAGGTCCTTTGCTCCAATACATTTTTGCTTGAGAGACCTCTCTAGTTTTTTCTTTTTTTGTTCCAAATGTCGCATAAGCTGCCTCACAAATCCAAACCTAGAGTTGCAGATATTGCTACCTTTTTTTTTTTAAGGTCAGAGTAACTAGAATTTCAGAAAGCATCAGAGGGTTAAATTTGAAATACAAAATTGTATACTTTGCATTTTCTTTTTATTATTATTTAGAAGTACCGAGTCTTACAGATTCAGTTTACTGTGTTTTTTAATTATTATTGTGCCTTTTTCAGTTAACTTTTTTTGTGAAGTATTGCGTACGTTGTCCCAATATAAAACAGTCATTTTTTGACCTTTGCACTGTTTGGATGTGGTCCTCTCAATCTCGTTGGCGTAGAAAATATTGAATTTTGAAAAACAATGCACTAATGTCAAAACTGACACGAGGGTATATTTGGTGTCTTTTTCCAAAACTCTAGGCAGGGGAAGTAAATTTTGCTAATGGGGGCTCTAAGGCTACTCTTCTATTGACTAGGACCATTTTTGGCAGCTTCAGATTTTTCAGCTAGTCAACAAGCCAGGGCCTCAGGCAGCAAAGCCTACTTCCAAGGTTGCTGAAATGGTAGCACTGTTCTCTGTTTTGCCAGTCTTTCCTTGAATTCACTGATCCACCAGCATTATTACTAAATAAGCTGCAGCAATTAAAAATTTTGTAGACTTGTTTAAAAAAAAAAAAGGGGGGGGGTGGGAATTGAGGGGCTACTCGTATACCCCAAGTTTACAACTGATGTTGCACAGAAGTGTGTTAATAAAAAATACACTTTTTTTTTCCTTTTCCTTTCTTTTCTTTTTGGAAGGGCAGATTAATAAAATACTGCCCTCAGTAACTATCAGTGCAAATGGTGAAACCAGGCATGCACTCAATTGGACTAGAAATTGGAAACTCTTGCACTTAGTCAGAGCAGAGAAATTTTAAAATTGCGGTAACATACATGTTAGTGTAGATCTGTCTTTAAACATCTGAAAGTATTGGGTATATCTGTTGAGCTCTTTTCCCCTGAGGCTTGAGCACCCAAACAAAACTTAGTCTACAAAGCAGAGCTTTCAAGCTCCTTAAGGTGCTGTTTGTTACATCTTGTGAATCTCCAGGGTCATTGCTAATACCAATTTGAGATGTAAATTCAGAGAGCACTTTTTTGAGCAGCACCATAGGTGCCACTAATTTCATATCTTTCAAGATGATCTGAAATACTCCTGAGCTCTGGGCATGAGCAGGCCATGTTCTGCCAATTGCCATTTTAGCACTTTGTTCTTTAATATGGCACTTCTCCCTCCACCTTCCCCAAACCTACCACAGCTCTGAAAATGAAAGGAAAACTGTTTGGTTTCACTCCAGAGCTACAAATCTGTGCACTAAACCTATAAACATGGTGGAAAGAGAGCCCAGGATTCAGGGTGAAAGATGGGTGGTGGGTTTTCACTTGCTTGTTCAGAGCATAAGAACCAGATGAAACAAGCTTTTGAGAGATTTGTGTAGCAATACATTAGAGCTTTGAGTTCTAATTTTGCCCCTTTTGTAACAGATTTCAGGTTTTGACACTGTAAATTGCTGTATTGGGAAGAATTCTGCTTTTGCCAAGCTACATGTTTGCTCCCCTGAAAGTGTATATTCTGTTGTTTTTCTATTGCCGCTTAACTTGAAAGTTGTTGGATTTTTTTGTTTTGTTTTGTTTTTTTTAACTAGTAGTAGAAACAGGTACTCAGTTCCTGAGTATTATTGAAACCTTCAACTCCTACAACAGCTACCTGAATAGCAAGCTGAGTAGATGTGTCCTGAGGTGAGGAAAAACCATAAACATCTCAACCTCACGTAGTCATCTTGGACCCAAATCTCTAATGGCCAGTTTTAGAAATAAATCTGGGATGTGGTAAGTCTCATCTCAGTTACTACTTTGAGATAACTCTGCTGCATTCTTCAGGTGGAAGTCACTTAGGCATCTCTCAGCTGCTATTTGCTAGATAGCTGTAGTGTGACACCAGACAAAAAAAAAAAAAAAATCCCACAAAAACCTCTGAGCACATTGTGTATATCTTGTGAAGTGCCCAGACCTCAAATTGATTTGGATTTCTTTATTTGTGCTGGGGTTTTTCCCTTCCAAACTGATACAAGAACCAAACTTTCCTGTCTCCCTTCCTTGGGTTGGTGCTTTAAGCAACACTGCTGTCAAACCATTGGCTTTATTTTTGGCAGTCTTCCGAATAATAAACACGGCCTAAACAGGGGAGCAGCAGATGGGAGAATATGAATTCTGTTTCCAGATGTTCAGTTCCTAATGTAAATACCACATCATTATAAATCCTGTGTCAAGACCATATAAAGGTGCTTTTTATTACAGTTAGCACATGCATTTTTAGAAACTACATGTTTTAGAAGACCTTGCTGTGTATATGTATACTTCTGTATTGTTCAACTGTTAGAAAATAAATTATTTCATTATTAAAGAGAGTTGTCCTTTTTGCTTTCTTCTCATCTGAGTGGGAAATAACTTGGAGCTTTCACCACTTTGGTGATTTCTGGGTTCCTTTTTAATAAATGGCATGTCCTATGGACCTCAGCAAGTTTCATTGCAAGAGTATTCGAAGGAGACCGATAACACAGGTCAATGCAGTTTGGAACATCTAATCTCCAGGCAGGCCTAATGTCTTTCTTGCCAAATCTTTCAGGAGCAACTAATGAGTTTGGCAGCATATCCTAATGCCCTTTTCAAAGAGGCTTCATGGTCCCTGGGCAGATGGCAAGGTGGACACTCAAAATGGATTACACCTTGCATGACATGAGCAAACTTTTTAGATGTTTTCTAGGAGAAGAGAAATTGCAGCAGAGAAAGGGGTTTTTAAAGTAACCTAATCCAGTGTTGTGGGGTGGGGGAGGACATCAAGGGGAAAAAGCCATGATGTGTATTGGTGGGACTACAGCTGCTTTCCTTTTGGCAGTAACTGATATCCGGAGCATCTACTTCCAGCCTTTTTGTGTTGAATCTCTGTTCAGGAGATGGAGTGCTCTCCAATTCAGCATCCTCAAAATGAAAGGCATTTGGTAAGACCATGAACATGCTGGATGTCAAGTCTGCTACTGTAGCGTAGCTGCATGCCTTGATTAACTCTTTCCAATCATGCAACAAAAAGGACATCTATCTCAGTGTGATATGGTCCTCATTGTAGTGTGTGCATGGGTAATGCCTAAAAAGTTGGAAAAAAACAACCAAAACCCCTTATCAGATGATGCTCTCCTAATACTGCAATGCTGGTGTTCTTGGTGCTGTAAGAGAAAGATGTAATGTAATTCTTGCTGTGTTACAAAAGTAACCCAGAGTGTTAGTGGACAAGTCTATTGTCTTGGTGGGAGGTGGCCACCTGCCAGTCCTGGAGGGTTTGGTTCTTGGCCCTGTGCTGTTCAACATCTTTATCAACAATTTACATGAGGACGTGGAAAGCACACTGGCCAAGGTTGTTCTGGGGAGGAGCGGTCACGCTAGGGAATAGGATCCAGATCCAAGTGGACCTAGACAGGCTTGAGAGGTAGACAAAGTGGAACCGAATGCAGTTCAATAAGGATAAATGCAGGGTGCTTTATCTGGGGAGAAGTAACCAGCAACATGAAAATAGGTTAGGAGATGTTCTGCCCAGCATGATAGCTAAAAAGGATCTCAGGGTTATGGTTAATCACAGGGTGAATGTGAGCTGCCAATGCAACGCTGTAGTCAACAGAGCTAATAGCATACTGGGATGTGTCGGCCAATGCATCACGAGCAGGGCTAAGGAAGTGATGCTTCCTCTCTATTCAGCGGGGATTAATGGCTGTCCATGTATGTAAGGGGTTGTTTCAGGTTGGATGCAAAGAAGAACTTTATGGTAAGGGTGACCAGAATCTGGAATAGACTTCCCAGGTAAGTGGTGCAGTCCCCAACCTTGGAAGTATTCAGGAGGAACCTGGACAGACACCTTGCTGGGCTCATTTGATCTCAGCAGTATTCCTGCCTAGAGCAGGGGGTTGGACTCAATGATCTGTTGAGGTTCCTTCCAGCCCTTAGCCTCTATACGATTCCATAAGACAAGCCTGACAAAACAGATGCTGGACAGTGATGTTTCTAGCTATTGTGTAGTATTTCAGAGCCACCTCTTGTTTGGAGTCTGTTTCTATTTGAAATCTAACGAAGCTTTTCCTTAATGGGCTACATCTCTTCTAGCAACCTCTTGTAGTTCCACAATTGTTTTTCACTTTGGAAAAAACCTGCTCCAGTAAGAAAGCCGTTTGCCAGTCCTGGGATTAAATTGGA